ACTTTCTGGGGATTGCTTTTAGTACTGTTAAATATTCACTTAACCAATTACTTTTGTTTAACAACTTTTCCAATATTTCTTTTGGCGTCAACAGTCTATTTTTAATAACAATGTCTTTAATTTTTTTTAAAGCCCGAATTGTCCAGTTGTTAAATAGCAAAGATTTTTCATTTACATTGATGTGTTTATTACCCCATAGAGGTTGCTCAGCAATCTCACTATAGCTATTTACTTGATTATTTGTAATACTATTTTATTGAACTGATGATTTTCTTACATTCACATAAAACTGTGGTACCGTTTCCATCATTGTGTTTTGTAACAAATGAATATTTGACATATTGAACAATACAATTTCAGCAGCAAGTTTATTTATATAAAATAACGGAATTAATTTCTATTTGACAAAGTCATTGTTAAGAAGTTTTCTTGCCCAATTTATACTGAGGGCTTTGACATGCAAGCTAAAGTCTGGTACATTTAAACCTCCAAGTTCAGTGGGTCCTATTAATGTTTTTCTTTTATTTTTATTTTTATTTTTTCACATTCTAGATAAAGTTGTATATAAGTGTATTGACCTTTGTGAAAACATAATTTGGAACTTCAATTATTAAAGCGTTGTAAATCAGTTTCGATAGTGCAAGACACTTCAAAATTGTTACTTTTCCCATTAGAGAAAGGTTTCTACACTTCCAAATGTTTAATAGTTTTTCCAAGCTTAGTAATTTATTATTCCAGTTAAGTTCTGAGCATTTTTTTATTGTCATAACCAATGTATATACCTAAGATTTTAAATGGTTCTTTGACCCAACATAACTTATAAGGTTTATTAGTACGATTCTTCCACCTGCCAATCCACATTGCTTTCGTTTTTCATATTAAGTCTTAAACCTGAAACTTTACAAAATTGATCAATCAAAACAATGGACCTATTAAGGCTAGTTTCATTTCCGATGAATAATACCGTATCATCGGCCAATTGAGCAATACGTGCCTCATGATCAGTAGTGGAATTGCATGGCAATGGTATTCTTCTTAACAAGGTATCTGATATAATATTATTAGCCATCATTTCTACTACTAGAATAAAAGCAGTGCGGACAACGGACAACCTTGACGCAAACCGTTTTGCATTTTATTACTCTCAGATTTTATCTCTTTATGGGCGCTTCATTTAACCAGGGAACAGTGAAATTTCACTCTTCTCTAATTTAACGACTGAATAAGTAATAAAAATATATAAAATAAATAAAATATAGAAATGGATATAGCGTGTACATTACATGAATATATGGTTAAGTGTAACTGAAGCAATGCATAAATAAATGAAACGGGCAAATAAATGATAAAAACAAATTAAAGGCAAAAAAGTGAAAAAAATAATTAATAAGTGGGTATATAATTAATTATAATTAAACTATGTGCCATTAAAAATTACTCAAATCGCACTATTATTAGTATAGGCATTGACAGCTAATGAATGGATTACATTTAAAAAAAAAACAGACAGAAGCTATTTGTAGGCTATATCTTATTTCATTTTAATTCATTTATTCAAAAATAACCTCCAACAAGGAGAAGCAAAGAAATACAATCAAAACAATGCAATTGAATTAAAAAGGTGGCTTGAATAATTAGAAACAGGCATAAAATTCGGACATTACACACACTACACATTAAAAATACATTTACAGAATTAATTGCAAGAAACAAGGAAATCACATTTCAAATACATATGCATATGCATATATATATACATATACACACCCACATACATATATATATATATACTGTATATATATATATATATATACATACAAATATATATATATACATATATATATATATATATATATATATACACATATATACACACATACATACACACACATACACATACATATGCATGCACATGCACATTGTAACACATACAGTTATAGTTTCTCTGCATCTGGTTTCTCTGCATCACGCATTAATCTTTCGCATTTACTAAAGATTTCGTGCAGAGGAACACTCTTTGAGTTTAAACTCAATTTTTCTCAGCACTTGAGGAAATCAAGGGTCGTTATGAATTAAAAATGATGTTGTATGTTTCAATTATAGTTCCACACATTGTTGTCTATAGGTGGTACGTACTTTTCCAGATATTTTGACAGTTCTTTTTTTCTATCTGTTAATGTGCGCTTCATTATACGACCGAATTATTAAGTACCATTAGGCCTACATAAAAATATATAAGATAAATGAAATATAGAAATTGATATATAGCCTGATAAACATATGGTTAAATGTAACTGAAAAAATGTATACATAAATAAAACGGACAAATAAATAATAAAAACAAATTAAAGGAAAAGGGTAAAAAAATAATTAATAAGTGCGTATATAATTAATTAAACCGTGTGCGATCAAATTATTTAATCGCAATATTATTAGCATAGACATTTACAGCTATAGAATGACTAGTTTGTAATATTAAAAAAGCAAACAAACACAAGCTGTTTAGCAAGTGGACCTACATATTATGAATTTCGTCTTACATAGGCCATCCACAGTAGATAGGAAAGGAACTTGCGTTGTAACACATAGAGCATAGTTAAATATAAAGATTTTAATTACGGTACTTAATTATTACTTCACAGCTATTATTAGAACAGTACAACTTTTAAAACTTGTTTACACTTTTTATTGTTAATATCTTGTTGGGTTTAAAGTCATGTTTTAGTTATTGTGTTGTATAAATATTTAACACTTACCCGTTGCGGTGACCATTGTTATATAATACTGTCCTCGTGCCTTCAACGTTACTCTGGTTTCTCTGCATTACGCATAAATCTTTCGCCTTTTACTAAAGATTTCCGTGCAGAGGAACGCTCATTGAGTTCAAACCTAATTTTTCTCAGCCCTTGAGGAAATCAAGGGTCGTTATGAAATAAAAGTAATGTTGTATGTTTCAATTATATTTCCACACTTCGTTGTCTAGGTGGTACGTACTTTTCTAGGTATTTTGACAGTTCATTTTTTGTATCTGTCCATGGGCGGGCGGGCGCTTCATTGAACGATCGAGTAATTAAGCACCGTAAATAAAAATATATAAGATATATAAAATATGGAAATTGATATATATCGTGATGAACGTATGGTTAAATGTAACTACTGAAGGAATGTATATAAAAATGAAACGGACAAATAAATAATAAAAGCAAATTAAAGGAAAAAGGTAAAAAAAAAATAAATGATTATAGGCCTATAATTAATTAATTAAACCGTGTTCCATAAAATTCTTTAAATCCCAATATTAATAGCATATGCATTTACAGCCAATGACTAGTTTATACTTTTAAAAAAAGTAAACAAACACAAGCTCTTTGTCAAGTGGGCTTATACATATTATGAATTTCGTATTTTATATGCCCCTACAGTAATAGGAAAGGAACTTGCATTGTAACACATAGAACTATAGTTAAATATAAAGATTTTAATTACTTAATTATTACTTCACAGTTATTATTAGAACAGTACAACTTTTTAAACTTTTTATACACTTTTTATTGTTAATATCTAGCTGTTGGGTTTAAAGTCAAGCTTTAGTTATCGCGTTTTATAAATATTTGACCTACCCGTTGCGGTGACCAATGTTATATAATACTAAAGATTACCGTGCAGAGGAACATTTTTTGAGTGTAAACTCAATTTTTCTCAGGCCTTGAGGAAATCAAGGGTCGTTGAAATAAAAGTAATGTGTTATTTATATTTCCACACACCGTTGCTGGATTGTACGTACTTTCCAGATATTTTGAGAGTATTTTCATCTCTTTATGGGCGCTTCATTTAACGACCGACTATAAGTAGATAAAAATATATAAAAAAATATAAGATAAATAAAATATAAAAATGGATATAGCATGTAAAGTACATGAACATATGCATAAATAAATGAAATGGCAAAAAAGTGGGAAAAAGAAAATTAATAAGTGAGTATATAATTAATTACAATTAAACTATGTGCCATCAAATTATTTAAGTCGCAATATTAATAGTATAAGCGTTGACAGCTAATAACTAGATTACATTTTAAAAAAAAACAGACAGAAGTTGTTAAGGCCTATATCTTATAACTTTTTTCCATACAATAGATAGGAAAGGAACTTGCATTGTAACACATAGAGTTATAGTTAAATATAAAGATTTTAATTACTCAATTATTACTTCAGAGCTATTATTAGAACAGTACAACTTTTAAAACTTGTTTACACTTTTATTGCTGCGAAGCAGCCAATTCATATTCTTGAAAGCAATTTGACCTCTGAAAGGTCATTGTTTGTCAAAAAACAAGTGCCTAAGACGACTGAAAAGCGGAGTTTCCTTCTTTCGTTCTGCCGGGTAAAAGCAATTACTTTAGGCGACGTTTGTAGACTAACGTACTCGTACCAACGTCCGCATGTTCGCGCTAGCACTCTAGGCCTAGACTAGCTAGGATGGTATAGGCCTAGCCTTGAAGGGACGAAGGTCCCAATGAAAAACAACGTCGCTCTTTGATAGCTAACATTTTCTATTTAACATCACAATAATTCATTATTAGACCTATAGTTGTTTTTTGAATTGTACTCTACAAATCTCAGCCGATACCTCGCACAACTCATTAACCTCTCTATCTATTGTCGTGACGTCATGGCTCGCTGGCTCACACTTGGGATGTCTCGCACTTGTGATCAAATAACACGCTGGCTCGCTCTTTGACAACACTCATTGGCAGTCAACTCGCCCCTAGAAAACCCGCCCTTGGAAACTTGTCCCATAAAAAAATGTACACTTCCTAGACCATGCAGTCTTCAAAATAAAAATTGTAACCTTTGGTAATCAACTACATTTTCCACATACATAGAAATTTTTGAAACTTGATTAAAAAAAACCTAAACCATAATTCACCACTATAGACACTTTTTGACATTATGAAAAATTACGACTTTGTTACCCAATGAGAAGTGTCCCGTTTGACATTACTCTAGTTTCTTTGCATCACACATAAATCTTTTGCCTTTCATTAAAGATTTCCGTGCAGAGGAACATTCTTTGTGTTTAAACTCAATTTTTCTCAGCCCCTGAAGAATTTAAGGGTCTTTATGAAATAAAAATAATGTTGTGTGTTTCAACATTTTTTTAACCAGTATCAAAAAGCTAATTAAAACTGAAATAACTAACGCTAAACTTGACTATAAAACTAAGTTGGAAAATTCCTTTAAAACAAATAATCCTAGAGATGCTTGGAAATGTATGTATGAAATGACTGGTCTAGAGAAGAAGACAAATAATAATAACTTTCTTTCGGGTGACACTCCTGAAAATGTAGCAAATAATTTTAACAAATTTTATGCTCGGTTTGAGGACGCAGCTGTTAATGGCCCTCCAAACATAGAGAAAATAGAATGTGCTAACCAACTTTTTGTCCCCTTTAGTTATTTTGTTACAATTATCTATGGACTTGCATATAATTCCTAAGTGTTGGAAGTCATCCGTTATTGTACCTGTCGCTAAGAAGGCTCGTCCCTCTAAGTTAAATGACTTTCGCCCAGTTGCGCTTACCTCCATCATTATGAAGTGCTTTGAGCGTATTGTATGTAATTATTTATTATGTTCTTTATCTCCTATTATATATCCTCTGCAGTTTGCTTATCTGCCACTTAAATGTGCTGAGGATGCCGTTCTAACTTTAGTTAACTTAGTTCAAAAACATACTGATAAACTAAATTGTTATGCTAGAGCTACTTTTGTTGATTTTTTATCTGCTTTTAACACTATGCAGCCATATATTTTAATTGAGAAACTCCATAATCTTGAGGTTAATCCATATTTAATTTCCTGGATCAGTAACTTTTTATATTTAAGAGAATAGCGTGTAAAGGTGTCTAACTCTCTTTCTGATGTTATTACTACTAATGTTGGTTCGCCCAAGGATGTTGCTTATCCCCATTATTATATGTTATACACTAATGATTGTGTTTCTCGTACACTAAATACGTATCTACTTAAATACGCTGATGATACCTTAATTGTTGGTCTTGTGCATGGTGACAATGAGAATCCCTATCGGGAAACCATTGAAGGTGTTGTCAATTGGTGTGATACTAATCAATTAACTGTAAATATGGCAAGAAAACTAAAGAAGTAATTTTTGACTTCAGGAAATCTGTAAACAGGGTACCTGTTCCAGTAAAAATACATGATGATGAAATTGAAATAGTTACTAGTTATATGTACCTTTGCATGATAATTGATGATAAGCTTAATTGGGGCGAGCATTGTAGAGGACTATTTTCCAAAGGACTCACTCGACTTTTCTTCTTAAGAAAACTTAATCATTTTCATTGTCAATTGGTGTGATACTAATCAATTAACTGTAAATATGGCAAGAAAACTAAAGAAGTAATTTTTGACTTCAGGAAATCTGTAAACAGGGTACCTGTTCCAGTAAAAATACATGATGATGAAATTGAAATAGTTACTAGTTATATGTACCTTTGCATGATAATTGATGATAAGCTTAATTGGGGCGAGCATTGTAAAGGACTATTTTCCAAAGGACTCACTCGACTTTTCTTCTTAAGAAAACTTAATCATTTTCATGTTGATCTAACGATTTTGAATCTTTTTTATTCGTCAGTTGTTCAAAGTGCAATTCTTTTCTGTTCCGTTGTTTTTTCTTAGTAGCTTAAGGAAAAATCAGATTTAGGCAAACTTCAAGCATTAACAAACCAAGCTTGTCGTATAATTAAGGAAAGCATTTCGATTGATAAGGTTTGTGTTGCAATCATCCTAGATAAGACAAAGAATATTATGACCAATAATGATCACCATCTATACCATGAGTATAATTGGTTAAAATCTGGCAAGCGTCTACGCAGCAGGTATTTGAATTCGTTAATTCCATTCTCCATCAGATTACATAACAATAACGGCTAGATATAATCTCTCTATACTCATTACCACGTTTTATCTCTGTATACAGTATTTTTATTTTATACTGTTCTATATTTTTGCTATTCTTAGTTTTTATTTCTTTGTATTTTTGTATTTCATTGTATTGCGATTGTTGCCTTAAATGAGTTTCTGCAAGGACCAAATAAATCTGAATCAGTGAATCTGAATCTGAATTATATTTCCACACATTGTTTACTATAGGTGGTACGTACTTTTCCAGATATGTTGGTAGTTCTTTTTTTCTATCTGTTCATGGGTGTTTCATTTAACGACCGAATAATTAAGTACCAGTACATAAAAATATATAAGATAAATTAAATATAGAAATTGATATATAGCCTGATAAACATATGGTTAAATGTAACTGTAGAAATGCATACATAAATGAAGCGGACAAATAAATAATAAAAACAAATTAAAGGCAAAAAAGTAAAAAATAATAATTAACAAGTGAGTATAATAATTAATTAAACCGTGTGCCATCAAATTATATAATCGCAATATTATTAGCATAGGCATTTACAGCTATGGAATGACTAGTATATAATATACAAAAAAGCACACAAACCAAACTTTTTGGCATTGGGCCTATATTATGAATTTCGTGAGTATTTATGAAATAAGTGAGTATATAATTAATTACAATTAAACTATGTGCCATCAAATTATTTAAATCGCAATATTAATAGTATAAGCGTTGACAGCTAATGACTAGGTTACATTAAAAAAAAAAAACAGACAGAAGCTGTTAAGGCCTATATCTTATAACTATTTTTCCATACAGTAGATTGGAAAGGAACTTGCATTGTAACACATAGAGTTATAGTTAAATATAAAGATTTTAATTACTCAATTATTACTTCACAGCTATTATTAGAACAGTACAACAGTACTTTTTACACTTTTTATTGCTAATATGTAGATGTTGGGTTTAAAGTCATGTTTTAGTTATCGCGTTTTATAAATATGCGACACCTACCAGTTGCGGTGACCAATGTTATATAATACTGTCGTCGTTCCGTTTGACATTACTCTGGTTTTTCTGCATCACGCATAAATCTTTCGCCTTTTACTAAAGATTTCCGTGCAGAGGAACACTCTTTGAGTTTAAACTCAATTTTTCTCAGCCCTTGAGAAAATCAAGGGTCGTTATGAAATAAAAGTCATGTAAGAAAGTATAATACATACTCCAAGTATTGAAATACACGCCATCGTGTTGGGATTCAATATTTCGACATTAATTATGTCATCATCAGAAA